GGGTGTTAAGATGGTGGTCACCGGCGTCCTTGCCGCCGGGTTTACGGTGAGGGGAAAGGGGGGAGGCGCTAGGGTTTCGTGGGGTTTAGGTCTGGTGAAGACGACCTAAGGGCGAGGGGGGGTTTGGCTTAGGGCGCGGGTTGAAGGGGGAGGGTTTATATACGGGACGGGGGATTGGATTTCTGGCCGTTGGATCATTGGTGATCAACGGCCGTGATCTCTTGACTTAAAGAGACGACACCGTTTGGATTAATGACGGGCCCGAACTGGACTGTTAGATCTGTTTGACCAACGGTTCAGATGGGGGGTGCCAAAAAACCGCGTCGTTTCCTTTGTGTCTGGGGCCGGACTGGGTTAGTGAGTTTGGGCCTAATATTTGGTCCAATTCACTGGCCCAACTCCGTTTTAACTTATTTTCTTTTCCCTTCTTTTAATTTTTGATTAAAAATAAAATTCCTATTAAATTGCAAAAATCAAAATAAGACCACACAAATATTAATTAATACTCAAACAACAATTATCACTCACATTAAACATCCAATTAAAATAAAATCCCTTAATGATGAAAAATAGAATTAAAGATGCATATTTTGTGATTTTCTCTTTAAACCAAATTGTGGTTTTGATCAATTCCTAATAGTAGAACAAAATCCCATCTTTATGTGCGACATATATATTTTTTGTATTTTCAATTGATAGAACTAAACAATCACAAATAAAAACTACAAAAATGACCGGCAAATTTACAAAAATTATACACGAAGACAATTTATTGTTATTTTGATTTCTCTTGGAATAATTGTCGTGTAAACAAAAATCACGTGCTCACAGTACCCAGCATAGAAGGGGCCATTATAGGCCTGAGGTGGTGAAGAACCATCATGAACGACAGTAGGTGAGTGACGACGGGGGGAGAATTAGGGTTAGAGTTAGAGAGAATCTGAGAGACGAAGATGAGAGTGACGACGGGGAGGGGTGGAAATGAATTAGGTTAGGAGAGGGGTCGTTTGGAATTAAAATGGTAAGAACCAATACGGGCCGTTGATCTCAGAGATCAACGGCCAGGATTAGGGGTGCCTGGGTTGAGTCTAATTGAATTTGGGCCTGGGTAAATTGGGTTAGGGACTTGGGTTGGTATTTAGGTCCGAAATAATTGGGGAAATTAAAAGGCTATTTGTTAAATACCCAAATAATTGAATAAAAATTATTTTATAAAATAATTAACAATGAGAAAAGATAATTTTCATGCATAGAAGTGCTTAAAAATAATTATTCAACATTTTAAAAATAAAATGGACCAATTTCTAGTAAAATAATGCAATGAGGCATGCATGGGCTATAATTGCAAAATTATTGCAATTGTAACCAAAAGGTGTAAATCTGGCCGTTTATGAAATGATTTGAACTTAATAGGGCTATAAATAGCAAAATTAAATCAATGAAGTGTTATAGAGCCATTTGTGATGCAATTTTGTAATTATTTATATAAATAAAATACTAAAATAAATTAAATTAAAATACAGAAATTATGAAAAATATCAATTGATGCTAATGCATAGTTTTGAAGGTATATATGCACTTTAAAAATATTATAGTAAAAAATTGGGTATCAACAGCTGTTCGATCCTTTCTGCATCCCCATCGTTGAAAGACAAGGTATCTTCCGGTAAGTAGTCCCGGGTACGCTTCTCCCTTGTGATTGTCACATTGGTGCGTTTAAATATCGGGCCTTGAGGAATATTGACCCTACTAACTATCATATGAATCACGTGTTGTGGTTCTCCTGTTCGTTTTTCCTATTTATATCCCTGTCTCTAAAGTGATTTTTAGCTCGGACACTTAGGAACTCTCGAAGGTGACCCTTGTTGAATAAACGAGCTACCTCCTCCCTTAACTGTCTGCAGTCTTCGGTTTTGTGACCATGGGTTCCATGGTATTTGCATATTTGATTAGGGTTCCTTTGAGCTGGATCGGTCTGTAGGGGTTTGGGCCACCTAGTATCCTTGATTCGTCCAATGGCTGATACAATACCTAATGCATCGACGCTGAAGTTGTATTCCGATAACCATGATGCTTCTTTAGGATCGACATGATTATTGAAGCCACTCTTACTCATGAGCCCGCGGGAGCTTTCTCCTCGGTAATTCCTCCGATCATTTCGAACAGATTATGTCCCGGTCCGTTGTTTCTATGATCTGCGATGTACGGTTGGTACTGATCTCTGTTTGATCGGGGATCTCTGTCGATATCCCTTTGAACTCTTCCGTCAGATCTATTTGGGTAGACAGATCCAGAAAGGCTCCTAACTGATCATCCTTGACCCTGATTTTTCACTAGTATCGGTTATGTACATTGGCCTAGGTCACAGCTGGATATTCAGTCAAATTCTGCTTTAGTTGTCGTGATGTTATCGAACGTTGCTCATTCAGACCTTGATTAAAGGCTTGGACAGCACAATCATTGGTCACTGGGGTAGGTCCATGCGTTCCATTTGGAACCGAGATACGAATTCCTTTAGCATTTCATTGTCCTTTTGTCTCACTTTGAAGAGGTCTGACTTCCTAGACGCGACCTTTATTACTTCGGCTTGTGCCTTTACGAACGAATCAACAAGCATGACAAAGGAATCGATGGAATTGGGTGGCAAATAGTGGTACCATATCATCATCTTCTCCAAACTTCTTCAACAGAATAGATTCGATTTCATCATCTTCTAAGTCATTTCCTTTTATTGCGCATGTATAAGAAGTGACATGCTCATTATGATCAGTGGTTCCATTGTATTTGAGAATTTCTGGCATGGGGAACTTCTTTGAGAATGGGCTTCAGAGCCACACTTGGAGGGAAAGGCTTCTGCACAAACTTCTTCGAATCCAAACCTTTTAGAATCGGGGGTGCCACGATATTTGGTCAATCCATGAATTGTATGTTTCTACCTTTTTGTCATTAGCCTCGATTTTCTTTTCTCCCGATTCGATCCACGTAGTGAGCTCCCCGATCATCTTCATGTTGGCGGGTTCAGTTCCCAATCCATTATTGTTCGATTTCTCTGGTACAGGTTCGACCTTTTAATAACTTCCTGTGATGTATCGAGCTTAATTCTGCTTGGTCCTCGATTCTTACTTTGGAGCTGCGCTATCACAGCTTGTCGAGTCTGCAACATTTCAAATATCATTTGAAGGCTAATCCTGCCTTCTTCACCGCTCTGTGCGTTCTGCTTGGCTGCTCGGGCGTCTATACGGACATTGTTTTCAGGGTCGGTGCCTAAATTTCCATGAATGGCAACACAAGAACTAACATCGACTAGATCTATGGCCAGTGGTCCATCGGGATTGACTGGAGGTACTCTGTTTCCTGGGGCAACTATGTTCTCGTTCTCGCCATGAAGATCAAGGCCGGTGTCTGTGTGAGTAGGCGCTGCCTGAGAGTTTGACATGTTGATTCCTAAAATCAAAGACACTTACGAGAACAAGCGTAAAGTAGTATGTTATGAGGATTAATACTAGGGAATCACTATTATCCTTAGCCCCACGGTGGGCGCCAAACTGTTTACCCTAAAAATTAGATAACAATTAAACTTATAATGTGGTTTTAAGGACACGTGATTTTAAACTAATACCAATTGATAAACGTAGAAATTAACAATAAAGAATAACAATGAGATAAAACAAACTAGTCTTGAAACATGATTCAACCCTCGAGCTTAGGTGCCCTCGAACTAGTCAGTACCTAAAATAGTTAAGAAGCAAACTGATGAACAAGAATATAAGCTAGAAAGTATGTATTGCTTTGATATGTGTGTATGTAAGATGGTTACAAGATGATTAGGACACTTTTTATATAGTAGAGGAATCTTATTTATGATACAATTCTAATTACGGAAGTAAATCCCATGATTAACTAAATAACCACCCTTTTTGTTCTGTTCCTAGATTTATGCCATGATCTTCGGCCAGTCATGGATATCTCACCTTTCTGTTATTGTGCTTTGCTCGATGTTTGTCCCCTTTGGTCTCGATCGCTACTGGCCTCGATCTTCGATAAGTTCCTCGGTCCTAGAAATTCGGTGCCTTGTCCTCGTACCTTGTTCTGCTCGGTTGCGAGGCCGACCGATACAATTCCTTAGCCTCGATCAAATAATAAAATCGGGCCTACCCGATTTTTATCGTATACAAATTATTTACATATGCAGTCTTTGGTCTTCTTTCTTGTCCTTTTTCTAGTAGTTCTTGGCCAAAAATATCTGCAAACAAATAAACATGTTATAAATTAGAAGGTTACATATTCTTACGGGAAAATATGATAACGATCACATGCTTGTTGTAGAAGCGCAGAAGTTGAAATATATAAGAAGGCAAAAGTCGTGAAATTAGCATATTATAGATTTATAATATATGTATTTGTTGTCAAGATACATTCATCAAAGATATGATACCTTATCAGTTTCAAGAAGACTATCAGCTATAAGCACCTCTCTCAATAGTATGTTTCAACTGTACACATAAAAAGCTCTCTTCTGGAAAATTCTTTATCAAATTGAATAACAAATAAATCAGAGGATATTGCAGAAAGTGATGAAAATTAAAAAGTTACTATGAGAGTTACTTTGTTGTTGCAATTGCCACCCACACATCAAAGCAATAAACACATAAATTTCTTCTGAAAGATAAAGCCAAAGCTAATAGGTCACCAAAAAGAAGAAACCATTGTCCCCAATAAATTAAGAAAATGAGAAAGAGTTGTTTAAATTTTTTTTTTTATCTTTATCGCAAAAACTTAAAATTACTTTTATTACAGCATCTAAGAAAAGAAAAGGCGCACAACCTTAGCATCTTTGGAGCAACTCAGAGCATATGTCGCTTAACTCTCTCACAAAAATGATGATTCTCTATTTCATTTCCTTCAGAAAATAAGTAACGTATAGGAGAGAGTGTCCACATAAAGTTGCTGGATTTGGAATGGAATCTAACATGTCATCAAGTGTGATTGGTCTTGCCACTATTGCTACCTCAAGAATATGCATCAATTTACTATTTAATCATATTTTGAATGAAGAGCAGTTCAGATTGTACCCAAAAATTTCTTTTTCAAATTATACCTAACATCAATATCAGTATCAGTATCGAGTTGAGATAAAAATTTCTGTGAAAAGAAAACCAACAATGGGGAGAGAGAATAGGAAAATTAAGGTTGAAGATGAAGAGATGGTTCTTATATCACATTTATAGCCTTTCATTTGTATGAGCTAAGATTTGTATTCATCTGCAACCAATGAAAATAATGAAGCAGATGCGTGGACAACAAAGAGAATTACTACTATATCTGGAAGCCTCTCCGCTTTTTCCGTAATTTTGAACTCACTCACAAAGACACCAACACCATGGTTTCTTGACTCTAAGTTTGAACTTAGAACTATTATTTTGATTCATTTTCCATCGATTTTGAGATCAGACCAATTTCACACAAATTAGCCATAGCATGTCAATAAAACAAAATCAATTAGAAAGCTAGAAAAAGCAACCATGTGTATTAACAAAGAACGATTAAAAGATCAAAGTCAAAAGAAATTTGCAGAGAAGTTTAAGACCATAAGGAGCACATAAAATCAAAAACTTACAAGAACAAAGATGAAGCTTCGCCGTTCAAAATTCAAAATAAAAATATAGATCATAAACTAATTTTGAAAATACAATTACCTCGATGAGCGACAAAGACCCTTAGCTGAAACCTCAATTTCTCTTGTCAAAATATTGCTACATATTCCAGACATCAGAAATGTAAATTTTGAGGGTGTATGATAAATTTGTGCATGTAGACAAACATTATGGGGTACATAGGTGACAAAATACAAAATAGAACAAAAGACCAAGCAATAGACATCAAAACAAAAAAAAGGAGAATACTAACAAAGATGAAAAATAAACAATAAAGAATAAATAAGAATACCAGACAATGGATCAAAAGCAAAATAAAATGAACAAAAGACATAAACCTGAACACTGTGACCACCACCAGCATAACCTAGAGGACAATGAATGAAAGATAAGAGAGAAGAGCTCTATAGAACACTGATGCAAAACAACTTTCATTAATAATAGTTTTGTGACAACACCTCAACACACAACTACATTTTACATGCTTCAAAAATATTACAAGTTTTTTCACTTGTCATTTCATAAATAGCTTTGTTTACTCCAATAAAGAAGGACAAAAAAAATAGAACCTTTATGCATTCTTTCCAAAATATTCCTTGGACCATTGCACCAAGAAAAAAACATAAAAAATATTCAAAAAAGTTTTGATCAATGTCACAAGTAGATCAACTAATCAAAGCAACAAAATTTTTCATAACCAAAATGTTTTTCAATCTCACGATGTGAATATGTATGTCTCACCATTTATTCATTCTTTACTCTTCATCAAAGAGATTTTATTTGTTAAAATAGAAAAAATAATATTTTTTATTTCTTTATCCAAGTCTATTAGATTGTCACCAAAGTAGAGACAGGAGATAACCAATTTCATGAACTTCTAACAATATCTATATATGGATAGGACGAAACAGACAAATGCCAAAACATAATAGTTTCAAATATTTATTTGCTATCCATATCAGTAGTTTTCTCATAAGATTCAACTTCTAAAAAAATTCATTCGGCTTAACAAATGATGAGTTCTCAAACTCATCCTTATGTTCCCCGATTGGATTTGTGAGCCCTGAAAAGCCAATCAATTAAAGGATGTCCATTTAGATAGTTGAAGTCCATATTATATTATTTTCTAGGTTGCCACCAACTGCCTAGGGAAGGTCCTTTCGGTAACTTCTTGAAAACCTTCACAGACATGCTGAGATACTTGGGCACTTGTGCCATTAAAAGGGGCAAGATAATTTGCATTGGATAACTTTGTTTCATAATTATGGACATTCTCAATATGTCTCGCGGATATAAAGAGGAAATTCCAAATCTAATATTCTCTAATTGTGTGTTATGCTATTTCTTATATGTCTTTCCTTCAATTAGATTGCTTCTTGTATGTCAATAAAGATAATCAGAATAAAAGAGTGGTGCATCAGAACAAGCTGAAGATGATATTAAACCAATTGAGAGTAACATAAATAGTGAAGAGCCAACATCTCAGGCAGATGGTTATGATGAAAAACTTGACATCAACGACATGCCCATGGAAGAGATTCAGGTACTTTAATATCTTTGCGATTGCTGTATGAAAATTGTGGAAAAAGAGAGCCAAAAGAAAAAAGATTTTAAAAGATGTAGTGTGATTTTTTGCATTTTCATTTGTTGTACGAATGGCTTGGAGCTTTTTTAAATGAGAATTGGAAGATATATGGCAGTTGTAGGTTCCATCTTTTCTTAAAGAAATAGGATTCACACTATGATTTCATACAACTAATATTTCATTTATTTGGTTCTATTTTTCTTTTTTTGGTTTTATTTGATCTTTGTTTTGTTATAGTGCTTCCTGACCTGCCAGATTTTAGATTCTTAACCTTTTTTTTTTCTTTTTTTTTTGTGTCGATGCCATTATTTAGCTTCTCATGAAGTGTTTTTGAGAAAATAGGTCATGATTTCTCTCCCCTCACTTGTTTTTCTTGTGTTTGAACTTTCATTTGGTTATGCACTCCTATTTTCTAGCTCCAAATGCAATACAGATTTCATGAGTCTAATGATGAACACACGAGATAATGTGCACGAGTGTCTGAATTGTGTTTCTGTATTTCAGAAGAAGATTAAATTTCAAAAAAATCATTTCCGAGCATAAATATTCCCCCCCCCCCAAACTAATATGAAAAAATTGCAGTAGTTTTGTGCCGGTTGGTGTAAGGATTTTGAAAAAAATCTGGATTTGTAATTAAGTACACTAACATCATGTCGCCACGATATATTCCGAGTAGAGGAATATCCAGAAAGCAGTCACAAAATTAAGCTTAACCGCATTCAAAAGCAACAACAAGATGTGGCTTCACTTGCATCCCAAAATAGTAGCAAAAGATGTTTCACTGGCGAAAGTGCTAACAAATGATAGTCGTTTAAGTTATCTGTTTTTTCTACAAAGTTGAATCTTATATTAAATTTAGAAGGAACAAAAATTTCAAATACCTCTCAGCAGTTTTTCGGAGGAGAAATTTTCATTTCCGTCTTACATTTGTTGTAGGAACCATTGCCTTTGCTTGTTGTGTGTGGGTGCTGTTATTTCTCTGTGGCAACATGTTCAATTTTTTGTTTACTTCCTTCTGCAACGTCTTTGATGGTGGCTGGCATTTGTGAGATAACCAAATTACTTTTGTTCATGAAAGACAAAATAACTAACTTTCCTGGCAGTGCCTCATTGTTTCTTGTAAACAACTTTTTTATTTGAATCTTGAAGATCTTGCCCGTCAGTAGCTTTTGCGCGTTCATAAGAGGCAACAGTTCTTTCTAAAAAGATAAAATTGGTTATTTATGTGTGAGAGGAGGCTTAACTTGGAGAAGATACTTGTTTGTGATTTTTTGAAGTTAACAATGTACCTTGACATTACAGTTATCATAAATCTCTTTCGAAGTGAGAAGTAATATTTTTTCTGCATGCTCGTTGGAAATAGTTGATGTTGTAGAACCGCTCTAATCTGTGAGCGTGACTTCAAATTGGCACCTAATTATAAGATAAAATGATAGTTGGTGGAGGCTGAAATTCATAGTCAGCTATCGATAATAGGAAAGACCTATTTTTATACTATTTTGTCCAGAAAAAACAAGCAACAAGAGCATTACAAGTATTAAAATAGAAAATATAATTATCTTACCAACTTGTACTTAATAACTTTTTATCTTTCTTTTTTATTCTCTTTTCTTCAAATGCTTCTTATTTCTTAATAAAAGCTTGGGCTATTTTTATCTTATGTAATTTGATTTTTAATTCATCCAACTAACAAGCAAGGAATCAAACTAAATTTTGTTTCTATATCCAGCAGTGTCTTCATCCTCTTGACTGACTTTTATTTATAGGTTATCTAACATGGTGATTACTTTTACAGCCTTTCTTTGGTATGTTTGGTTATGGAGTACCTGTTGCATCTATGCATTTGGAAAGGTATGTCTTGCTAAAGTTTATTATGGCTTCATTTTGGACAAAATGAAGGACTTATTTTTCATTATGCTGCCTTTTTGTAGACGAGCCTTATGTATGCGGCGAAATCAGAAGACTTAATTTCTCGCTATCAAGCCACTTCAGAAGAATACCTCGAGGCCCCGAGGACGTGGAGCTGCGACTAAGTCCCCTCCCTCGGGGCTCGTCGAGACCCGACCCAAAGAAGATGAAGGACGAGGCTACAGCAAAAGGGGAAGTTCTCAAGGCACACGGCTAAGTCTGACAAAGCCGGCCTATACAGAGCCTATGCCGAAGCATCACGTCTAGCCGTCCCATCCATACTTTACAATTAATCCATGTTGTACTATAACCGGGTTCCCCTCCTATATAAAGGGAACCCACACTACTTTGTAAAGGGCGGATGTTGCTCCAACTATTCTCCACAAGATCAATAATATCTCTCTCTCTTTTCTCTCTAACTTGGTCGTTCTTATTAGCTCGAGGCCACTCTTAACATTTATTGCTTTCATACTTGTTCTTCGTTTATTGCTTGGTATTGGCCATAAAGAACCTTGTTTGATCATACCTTAACTGTTATCACATTCCCGACTATCCCCGATAGCTCGAGCTCGAGCCAGATATCGACCTCGAGGTCCTTCATCGACCAGTCCGATGCTCGGGTTGCAAGCATCTCGGTTTTATTACTGCCCCGCTTTAGCTCGTATTTCTTCGTTAAACTTCATACTCTTAGCATCAACTACTCTAACAACTAGCATAAAAAGGGATCACATATTTTTAGAATCTCATTTACAAATTTAATTGTTGTTACCATTTTCACGGTAAACAGTTTGGCGCCCATCGTGGGGCTAAAAATAATAGTGATTATTTTCTTGCTGATTTCATTGCACAAAAGCAAGTTATCTTTCACACTTTTTCTTGTCCAAGATCCCTTGATTTCAGGTTGAAATGTCTGGCTCGGTAAACGGGGTTAAGAACGACTACCTCGAAAATCATGAAGAAAACGGTATGGTTGTTCCAGTCATTGGCACGCCACCGCAGAACCCCGATAACGCACCTAGACCGATTCTAGCAGATGCGGCTTTGCAAGACGCGTAGCGGGTCGACGAAACCTCGCGCACCAACGGAAGCATACAACATGGCGACCAACAGTGAACCCCAAAAGACCCCAGCCCAGGAAGAACAAGAAGTTAGTCTTCATGTTATTTTTGAAATGTTGCAGGCACAACAGTTGGCTATCGCTCGGTTACAAAGCCATCCGAAGACTCCCAGCACAGCAGCGCCGGAAACAACTCCCCCTGCTGAGAAAGTAACCGAGAGATCAAGCAATAACAGATCGGTAGCCGACCTTGCCATAACAAAGATGCTTGGGGATCTCTCCAAAAGGATCGAATCGGGTTCGTGGAAGTTCGTGCAACGGCCGTTCCCCGAGGAAGCGGCCCCGGAACCCATTTCAAAGAAGTCCAGAATGCCAGAACTCCCCAAGTACAATGGGACCTCAGATCCCAACGAACACATCACCGCCTATACGTGCGCGGGAAAAGGCAACGACCCAAAAGATAATGAGATCGAGCCCGTCTTATTGAAGAGGTTCAGGGAAACACTCTCGAACGAAACCATGATGTGGTGTCATAACCTAGTGCCCGACCCCATAAACTCGCTTACCATACCGGCAGATTCCTCCATAAAGACACACGCCGATGCAATCGAAGCAGCGATGAGAGAGCCCGACACATCCAGGGCCGAACAAAGGAAGAATGAAACGCCACGGGAATTCGCACCTCATTCCCTGATGGAACGAACGAGATTACCCCAGTCTCAGATGACTGGGCAATACAGGCCTTCACTCAAAGCCTAAACAAACCAAGCCCGACGATTTCAGGGTAGTTCAAACAAAACTTGATCAGGTACCCAGCCAAGACCTGGTCGGATGCCCGTACCCGGCATCAGTCGCAAATCAGGGTAATGGATGACCATCCGGGAGCCTCCTCGGGCTCAGCTTACCCAAACAGGCTCCTGGAAAAGAAACCAATGCCAAACAGAGGGAGGTACCGCCCGTGCACAACAGATAAGAGAAACGCCCCAAAATGCAATCTACCTCGCAACGATCGGGGAATGGCCCAAGGACAATATCCTCGAGGAATCGTTAACAAAGCCAGATTCGACGAGGATGCCTGGCCGACAAGGGCGCCTCTCCCATCAGAGTACAATTTCCACATCGCTATACCAAACATCGTGTTCCCCGTGGGCGAAACTAGGGACGTCAAATGGCTCGGACCAATTCGGTCGAATTCCTCTCAAAGGAATCACATCCTAGCGCGGGAACTACATAGCAAGTGCAGTCGCGGGGTCGAAGATAACCACCAGCTCCGAAGGAAAGATACCAAGCCACTCGACAAAAATCACCGCCGAGAATTGACGAGCGACCAAATTCAAGTTCAGTCCCTGGTATGGAAGGCGGCCAGGAGGAATGAAGCAAACAGGCGGCAGCGCATTACCACGATAATGGAGGAGCGACGACCCTTTCCAAGAACTTGTAAAAGGGAGAGCAAAATTTCTCGTCACCGGAGAAAGGCAGATCTGGGGATATACCCCAAGGACGCCCTTACATTCAGCAAAGAGGGTACCAATACCTCATCTCGACCTCACAATGACGCACTGGTAACCTTCTTCCTCACTCGATCCATTTTAAATAAAATATGTGCACATGAGTGCAGGTGGCTCGATCAGCACTGTCAGGCCAAGGATGATGGGGCGATTCAAACCGCCGGGTCAAAACACAACCACCTCTCGAATCTTTGACGGACTCTAAACGGCGATTGCTACGACAAGGAGAAAGACCATTCTCCTAGTACAACATGACTGGCCCAGACCGGAATGCCGAGTTCTATGTCATCAAAGGAGGCGCAAGGCACGGACGCCTTATTCAGATGACCGCGGGCATATCGCCCGAAGATAGGGTCGTCCCCACTTCGCCAAAAGGATGAAATTCCACGCAAGGGATGAAATTAAAACCGTTGGTAGGAAGCGATACGTGACAAGGGGAAATTCCGCATCACATGACGCATTGCTGGAACCAATATCTCCACTCTCAAAAGAGTCAAAGGGTAAGCGAACCACATCTTTGGCCAAACCCAATTAAACACAGCGGAGGGCTGTACTGGAGTCCATATCCCGAAACAGCAGGAACACACCAAATCTTAGAATATCGCCTGCACATCCGGCGGTAAAGAAAAAAACTACCTCCCTCCTTCTTTATTTTTCACTAACATGTATGCAGACACCCTGTTAGGGCATTCGGGAGTGCTAACTCTATCCGGAGACCCCAAGGCCTTAACAGAACCCGCCACGCTCTTTTCCCTTGATCGGACTTCTACCCCGAAGAGGGTCTAACTAGCAAGGTTCTTAGCAGAGCAGCGTACCCACTGAGGAGTATCCGATAAGATCGCAGGCCTTCTTCAGCAATCAAACAATGAAGGGCACCCCCCTTGAAGGCGTTGTCTGCTCGGAAGGGCCGGGGAATGACAGACTGAGTTTTAATAGGGAATCATGTACCGGACCAAACAATCCAAGGAGCCGCACCCGCGTGAGCCGAGCTCACAACAATGAAACGATATGTATTTACGCCAAGCAATAAAAGAATATATTTCAGCATCTTATACTCCAAAAAAGCAAATTTCAGCATACTCTCGGCAGGTATCCCTCCACCAAATGCATCCCGAAATACTCGGAGACTCAACGTCAATAATTTGGCACCCGCACGACCCTAGGGTCGGAACTCCGAGCTCATGAAGCCCCAGCAAGGGAACTCCGAGCTCATGAAACCCCAACAAGGTAACTCCGAGCTCAAAAATAGCGGCCTTCGAGCCTAAGCAAACTCGATGACTCGGAGACTATCACCAATCACCATACACTGGAAAACCCGAGGCCGTAAGACCCCAAGTGGGTAGACTCGGTCTAGCCAGATCTATTTTACACAACAACAAAACTGTAAGACCTCAACAGGCATGCCAAACTATAAGACCTCAACAGGCATGAAAATTTTGTAAGACTTACTACAGGCATACAACTCAATCCCAAAGTTTACGCTATACGTCACATTTGTAAGAATCCTGAAAGGGCATACCTCGGTGTAGACGCCTAAAATATCACTCGGGATAAAAAAAGGCTCCAGCCAAACACATATGACTGGGGTCAAAACGGTTGCTCCAGCCAAATTAACGCGACTCGGGGACGCCCGACTGTCACTAACATAATCGCAGGCCATTACTTCGAAAAGAACCGGTTAAAACAGGCTTCCCTCAACAGGCAAACGAGCTTCGACCATGTCTGCTCCAAATCACAAGGTTTCGAGATACTCATCCTACAAGCTAAGAACCTTCTGAGGTGCTCGAATATCGCCGCTAACAACTTGAAATTGAGGTTCTTCCCGAACCGACGACGGGTCAGGCAAAATCATTTCAAAAAGGCCTTAACGAGAGGAAAACAAAGCCTACAAAAATGCCCACAAGCAAAAGCGTAAGAGCCATTGTTGCCAGCCAAACGAT